GGGGGCAGAGAGAGAAGCAGCCTCCCCACTGAGCAGGGAGCCCTATGCTGCGAGGCTCTGACCTGAGCCGAAGGCAGACGCTTGGCCGACTGAGCCACCCAGGCGGCCCTCTTTCTTTTTTTTTTTAGAAATGATTGTCGTTTGAGTCAGTGACCATAGGTAATACCAGCTTCCTCTCAGAAATGAAACATGAATTTTAACTAATTTATTTAAAATTGATTCCAGCCACTTTTGTTATTTTTCGTTTGTGTATATGTTAATACCTTAGGTATAAATCTGAGACCAGTTGGGTAGATATTTGTGGGAAATGAGTAGGCAAATGAGGTAAATATGTGTACATAAAGCCTACAAGTTGGTTTTGGGTTAAGAGAAACACTTAAGGATTTTAAAAAGTTAGGCTTTTTTTGTATTGAAGTCTTCAGAGAAACTACTGTCCATGTTTTGTATTGTCTTGCATAAAAATAACTAAAATACTAATATATGGTGTGTTTTTTCTCATGGAAAAAGCTGATTTTACATTTGGACAAGTTTATTAGCTAAGCTTATTATTTGCAAACAAACAGCATCATATATATTAATATGCCTAGATTATTTGGAAAATATCACAAAATTATCACCTCAGTCCATTTAAGTGTAGCTGTGGCTTTCATTAAATTTTAACCTTCTAGACAATCAATAAGGGAAAGCCAGGGGCTGTGATCTAATCAACACTGGTAGTTAGGTTTCAGAATTGGCTCTGTGAAAGACTAGCTTTGTAACTTTAGGCAAATAACGGTCTTAATCTGCTTTTGTTCTGTAAGTATAAAATAGGAATAATAATACCTCTTCAACTTCCTTACAGGCTTGACATGATGATAATGAGATAATGGGTAGGAAAGAACTTTCAAAAGTTAAAGGTACCGTAAAGGTAGAGTTTTAGTATCAGAAATAGTACTTAATGAACAACATATGTAGAAAATTCCATCTTTTGGGATGGTTGTATGGCACCTCTTAGAGTTATAGCTGCAAGAAATGGTATCTTAACAGTTTTATTTATTTATTTATTTATTTTTTAAAGATTCCACTTATTTGACAGAGCACAAGCAGGGGGAGTGGCAGGCAGAGGGAGAGGGAGAAGCAGGCTCCCTACAGAGCAGGGTGAGCCCGATGTGGGGCTCGATCCTGGGACCCCGGGATCATGACCTGAGCCGAAGGCAGTTGCTCAGCCAACTGAGCCATCCAAGCACTCAACAGTTTTAAATATAAGCCAATAAGTAGTTGAGAAGAAAGTATGCTGAATTTTTATGTTCAAATCATAGCTCTGCTAAATAAAAAAACATATTTATGTATATTTCAAGGCTTAAAACTTATAAACATTCCAACTAATATTTTAGTACTGAGGAATTAATTACAAGTGGCCTATACTCGAGCATTACCTTCTTTGGTAAGATTCAGTGAATATTGAAAGACCTAAAAAAGTTATCGTTACAACTGCATTGTGACTGCACTGTAGCAGATGTCTTTTGTGGCTTTAATTTTAATTTGTTTGTTTTGGTTCTTAGGTACTTTGCATTCTCCTTTTCATTTCAATCTAGATTTTATAAAATTTTATGCCAATTTGAGTTAGAACAAATTTATAACTGCTTTCAATTAAATCAGCTTCATAATCTTGTGGTACTGCCAAGAAGTCAGAGTGATCTAGAGGGGACAGTATAGGGTTTCCTGTCAGTCTGTATGAATTGTGACTTCTCTATATACTGGATGTTTAATTTCTTTGACTTTAAGCTTATTCATCGTAAGATGGCATCATAGTATGTTTCTAACGGTTGTGAAGATTAAATAAGATAATATATAAACTGTGCCTCCCTCAGTGACGGGTATATATTAGATGTTGAAATAAAGTTGTTCACTACCCTACCACTCCAGACACACATGGTTGTGTATCCTAAATTTAATATTTGTTTTCCTCTTTGTCCCTAGGAATCTCTTGAGGGGGGAGGGGAAAGAAAATCAATGAACTGTTTTGATTTTCTTGAAACTGAGTATATATCTGAGATAGTATTTCTAGATTATGGATTTCTAAAAATGTGTTTACATCTTATAATAATTGTCCAAGAAAAGGAATAGATGAGTAGGTTGTTAGTTGTTATTACAAGGAATACATTAGTTATAGCTATTTTTTAAGTTCTTGCAGCCTAGGGAATCAGACTTTCTTAATCCACACCACCCTGGTTCAGAGGGCTTTTGCCATTGAGCAGATGAAGAGTTGCTCTGTTGCATAAGATTCATAAAGCCTGTCCAAGTCGGAATTTAACTTGGAGTTCTTCAGTTGGTCCTACTTAAAATGTACAGTCTGCTTTCTTAGGAAAGAATCTCATTGTTCTAGGTAAAGTCTCTTTTGAGAAAAGTATTACAAGAGGGGGGTAGATGAGAGTGGTTTCTAGTAAATCATTGATTTCTTTTTGTCTTCTGTTTTGACATAGAAGGGATGTAGAAAGCAGAAGAAGGGAAATTAGCAGCTGCTGTGTCTGAGGGTTATTTTGCTTAGTACAGGAGTATTTTCATTTAGTCCTCACACTGTATCTGTGAGGTAGGCTGGTACAGTTATCCTCATGTACAGAGGAGAAAACTGGGGCTCAGACTGAATGACTTTGATGAGGTCAAAGGGTAACAAGTGGCAGAATGGAACTTATTATCAACTGTTTTTGCTGTCTGTATGTGTAAGAGGAGTGGTGTTTGCTTTTTTTTATATTGTCTTACATCTAAAATACAAAAAGAATGTTAGACATTTATATCTAAATGAAAAATCTGTGTTAAAATAGGACCAACTACTGTTTTTAAGATCACTGAGATTAGAATCCAGATTAATTTGGTTCCACTGTTTATGCTGGGGAATAAAAAGATGAGGAGAACACCGTCCAACTTGCTGATCTTGCAGACTAATGGAAAAGTGACAATATGAGCTCATGTAGTACTCTTTTAAAAGGTAGATGGGATTCTGAACAGAGAGTGACTTCCTGCTGGGGGAGGTCTCCAGAAGAGGTAGCCTTTGAGTGAGTCAGCTTGTGAAGGGTGAGACTGTGCCCAGGGGAGAAAGGCAAGCTCTGGGACTGTTAAGTGGTGGCAAACCTTGCACAGAGACATACACAGGGAGTGAGCGGGTATGGTATTTTGGAGCCAAAGCCAGGTTTTCAGTTTAGTCTTATTCTCTGTAGTGAATCAGTAGATATTTTAAAGCAGAGAGGAATGGAAGGATAGAATAATGATAATAAATTTTAATTTTTTAATTAGTTTAATTTTAAATGATTTATTTTAATTATTTGATTTTAATAACAGTAGTTTGAAAGAGTCTTCTGAAAGAGATTGTAAGGAAGCTTGGTGTTACAGAGAACTCTAGGTATTTTCTTTCCTCTTAAAATCACCAAATAATGAAATGAAGGGCTCTCTATTCACATGTAGTTGCTTAGCCTGAGTGACATTATTAACTAGTTAACCTAATTATTCTATATTTAAAAAACATAGTTTAGGGCTGCCTGGGTGGCTCATTTGGTTGAGCGTCTCACCTTTGGCTCAGGTCATGATTGTGGGGTCCTGGGATTGGCCCCGTGTTGGGCTCCTGCTCAGCGGGGAGCCTGCTTCTCCCTCTCCCTCTGCCTGCCTCCCCCTGCTTGTGCTCTCTCTGTCAAATAAATAAATAAAATCTTTAAGAAAAACCAAAACATAGTTTAAGTGTATCTTCCATTAAAAGCTACTTTTTCAACCTTCATATAAAACTTGTAGTTCTTTTTTTTTTTTTTTTTTTTAAGATCTATTATCCTTTGAGACAGAGTTGAGACAGAGCATGAGCACGTAGGTGAGGGGCAGAGGGGGAGGAAGAGAACCCCAAGCAGATGCCCTGCCAAGCATGGAGCCCAACAGGGGGCTTAATCCCACGACCCCAAGATCATGACCTGAGCCAAAACCAAGAGTCAGACACCCAACTGAGTCACCCAGGCACCCCTAAAACTTGTAGTTCTAAAGACACATCTAGATCATTTAGCTTGAATATTTTATATATTTTCTCTCTCTCTCTTTTTTTTTTTAGATTTTATTTATTTATTTGACAGAGAACAAGCAGGGACAGCGGCAGGCAGAGGGAGAGGGAGAAACAGGCTCCCCGCTGAGCAGAGAGCCTGCCGCGGGGCTCGATCCCAGGACCCTGAGATAACAACCCGAGCGGAAGGCAGGTGCTTAACTGACTGAGCCACCCAGGCGCCCCTAGCTTCACTATTTTAGATAATTAGATGTAGTGAAAAGTAATATAATATTGTTTGGATGGGCAGGAATACTATTCAGATGATCTTGAAATAAAGGTGTTTTTTTTTTTTAATATTTATTTATTTGTCAGAGAGAGAGAGTGAGTGAGTACATAAGCAGGGGGAGCGGCAGGCAGAGGGAGAGGCAGGCTCCCTCCAAGCAGTGAGCCTGAGGTGGGACTCGATCCCAGGCATGACCTGAGCTGAAGGCAGACACCCAACCAAATGAGCCACCCAGATGTCCCTTTTTCTAATTTTTTTAAAAGATTTATTTATTTATTTTAGAGCACGCACACAAGCGGGAGTGGGAGAGGGACAGAGAAATTCAAGCAGACTCTGTACTGAGCACGGACCCCTACACAGGGCTCAGTCTCATGACCCTGAGCTCATGACCTGAGCTGAAACCAAGAGTCGGGCACTTAACCAACTGTGCCACCCAGGTGCCCCCCCCCCTTTTTTGGGCAATTATTTTTTATTACATAGCAATACACATTTATCATAGAAAATTTAGGAAACAAAATAATGAAAACAGATTACTTCTAATAAGGAAAGATAACTTTCTGGAGGATGTATACCATTCTAGTTACTCAACAAGCCTTTAATACTCAGATTTCAGAGTCCTACTCAGCCAGTGGCTACATTTAATACTTCTTTAAGCTAATGAGAATGGTTTTTCATCTCCACATATTTTAGTGGCTGAATTACCAAGGCACAGTTGAGAGTTTGGTCAATTTATTATTAAGTAATAATTTATTATTCAGATTTTTACTTAATACTTAAGGTAGTTGTTTTGACTGATGAAGATTTTAGCCTCTTTGATTAAATACTAACAAACGGCTTAGTTTAAGTGGCTATTACTCTTCTCTCACTATTAATTAGACATTCCTCAGAACGCAAAAGCAAAAAGGAACCTTAAAAATTATCTGATTTGCCTTCTCATTTTACAAATGAGGAAACTGGTTTCTTCCAAGCTTTTGTTTCCAGTGACTTCTTAGTTTAGATTGTGTTTTGTTAAGCTCTTGCTTGATTGCAGTCCTTTTCCTTTCTGGTCAGGCTCTGTTTTTCCATCTCTCAGCCAGCGGTACAAAGAACAGGGAAACTGAAGAGAGGAGAAAGCATATGCCAGAGAAGTAGAAGGAGCCGGTGTATGTCCGGGTGCGATCATATAACCAGCCTGGAAGGAAGGAGTGGTCTCTGTTAGTGAAGCGGACCTTTCAGGTGGTAATTCTCAGCCATCAACTGCATCGAGGGGAGGAGCCTCCTGTACTTACTAGTATGTATTGTGACCCATTAGGAAGTTAGTCTAGCTGCTTGCCTTATTTTCTATTGATGAAGTTAAATCTGTTGCACCTGAGTTAAGGACTTGACCCTGTGGGGGGAGAAAGTCATCATAGACTCAGAACTCATCTGCAGTCTTAGAGTGGAAATTGGGGAAAATTAGGGACGTATAATCAGCGCCCCTGATTTTACGATGAATCTTATTAGAAAGCCACTGTTCTTACAAAGAAAATAATTGTGAATTACTACTATTTTCCAAAGAAAAAAGAGTATTGATTATCTTTTTTCCCTCACTGAACAGTTTCAGTACTTACTACGTTCCCAACAGTGTGCTAGTTGTTGGAGGAGAGAATGGTAATGAGCCAAAACAGATGTGCTCCCTGCCCTCACAGACTGTACAGTTTTATGGGCAGTTGGGTATTAACTACATGACTTACATATGTCATAAGGGCTATGAAGGGAAGGTTCAGGAGGCTGTGAGAGCATGTGAAAAGGAAGTGACTACTTGGGACGCCTGGGTGGCTCAGTCGGTTGTGTCTGCCTTCGGCTCAGGTCATGATCCCAGGGTCCTGGGATCAAGTCCCACGTGGGGCTCCTTGTTCAGCAGGGAGCCTACTTCTCCCTCTGCCTGCCACTCTCCCTGCTTATGTTCTCTCCCTCTCCCTCTCTCTTTGGCAAATGAATACATGAAATCTTTAAGAAAAAAAAAAAAAGTGACTACTTAGATGGGTTAAATGATGACTATAAGTCCCCCTGAAATCAAAATGTTCTTTTAAAGCAAGAATGAGTGGGTCCACAGAATCATTTGGCTACTGGCACATACCAGAACTTTTTAAATGAAACCCTTTTCTTAAAAACCTGTGAGTGTATGGTGGCAAAGAATATTTGTGCAAGGAATTGGCTTAAACATAGTTGTACAAGTCAGCCTTGTGAAATGGCAAATAACGTCTTAGTATTATTGTGGTAGTTTTGACCTCTGAGCCTTCGTAAAAAGATCTTAGGACTCCCAGGTATCCACTGACCACACTCTAAGAACCTCTTTTCTAAAGTATTATATGCATATTATGTTTGTAGATGCAAATTGGTTTTTAATCCTAAAATACCTTAAAAAGTTAAAGCTGTTCTTCTGATCGTTTATTCAAAGAAGTTTTGGTCCTATCTGCCAACACACTTCTAGGTACTGGGGGTATATCTGTGAATGAAACAGATGGAAATATTTGCCCTCATGGAGCTTATGTTGTATCTTTTCATTTATATTTTGGAACATGATTTCTCACTGAATGGGTAGCATATACCCTCTTCTCTTTTTGGTCTGATTGTGTATGTCTTTATCTCCTGTCCTTTGTTTTTTTTATTTGGTTCTGATATAGACATTCAGTTTTTTTGTTTGCTTCATTAGCTTTATGTTTCCTGTTCTTGATGGAATGAATGAATGGAATGTTTTATAGCCTCTTAAATTCAGCTGACTTTAACTTGCTTTTTACCTGTTAACTCCTTGTTGGATCAATGACCTCAAATGTTTCTTGGAGTTAAGCAAAAAAGTGGAGAGAAACTGACCAGGACAAGTCTTTGTATTATGTTGATTGTGATTGCCCTTTAGATATCAAAGAGGTAGGTAGGTGACAGTCTCAAATTTCTAGAAAGGAGGAAGTATAGAAAGCACCAGCACCCTTTCCTGTCCCTTGTCATTCTTGCTTTAGTCCCACCAGTACAGGAGATGTATCGAATTGTAAGATAGGGTTGTTAGAAGTAATGCTCTGGAAAAGACTAGTAATTCTTAGATAAGGAAGTAGATTGTGCTGCCAAAAGCTCAGGAGGGTGTAGGTAAAAATAGTGGAAATGGGTGGTGGTGATCTCTATAAATCCTAGAAAACTGGTAATAAGCCTTTGATTTCACATACACATTTTTTTTTTTTTAAGATTTTGTGTATTTATATGACAGAGCGAGAGAGCACAAGCAGGGGAACAGTAGAGGGAGAGGGAGAAGCAGGCTCTCTGCCAAGCAGGGAGCCCGATGTGGGGCTCAATCCCAGGACCCTGAGATGACCTGAGCCGAAGGCAGACATTTAACCTTCTGAGCCACCCAGGCGCCCCATCACATACACATTTTAAAGTCAAAATGTTGTTTCTGAAAGATTAAAATATATTTAATATATTTTCTTGCCAGGGCAGGTAATTATCTAGCATATTTTAGAACTCTCCATGTATTTCCATACAACATTTAATGAAATAATTAGTTTTAAATCTGTTTCTCTTGGGGCATGTAGGTGGCTCAGTCGCTTGGGCATCTGCCTCCGGCTCAGGTCATGATCTCTAGGTCCTGGGATCAAGCCCCGCATCGGGCTCCCTGCTCATGCTTCTCTCTCAAGTAAATAAAAATTTAAATAAAAAATTTGTTCCTCTTATTCATACTTGATAACTGAGATATTAGTAAATTTTAAAAATTCTATTTCTAAGATCCAGTTGCCATTCAGTAAGTTAATCATGTGTAGTTGAGTATTTAGTTTTATATTTATAAAATTCGCAAATACGAGTGAAATGTAGGATGTAGGGCTATTTCATATTATTGACTGTTTTATGAAAGTATTAGCTGTCATAAGCTTTAAATTTACATGGCTACTAAGTAAGTTAAATTCAGAGCTTCATTAGTATTGAAACATCTACTGTATTTGGTTAGAATAATCAGCCTTTTTCCACCACCATAAAAGAAGACTGTATATTTGGTCTGATTTTATTAGATCTCTGTGCTTTTTTGGTAACAGTATGGAAAATCTGTTTATAAATGCACTTTCAACCCTAAACAGTTTAAGGCTCCTGCATGTATATTTTTAAAAGAAATGATGGTTGGTAGTTGAGAACCTATCATATTCTAACGACTTTAAATGTAAACAGCTAAGTTGACATTCAAAAGACAGTGTTCCTTTGCGGTCATAGCAAAAGCATTGTGAATGACAGAAAGACAAGATAATATACCAGCCATAATCCAGAAGCGTGTGCATCCATCTAAGTGTCCACTCCATGCTGAGTGTTACTGTATGTAGCCAACAGTCTGAGGAGTAGTACACTGGCAGCTGGTACAGACTGCCTAAGCTCAAATGCCCTGTAAGCGTTTCCTCAGTGTTTACAGACTACCTACCCCAGATTCATCTGAGATGCATGTTCATCGTGCAGATTCATTGGCTTCCCTTAAGCATAACTCATCATGACATGAGCCAGTCGAGTCTTACAATAAAATTGTAGTCCAAATTATTTTCCTGTGTCTATGGCTGTAACCCTTATTTTAAGCAGGAATGTCTAATAATATTTCCTTTGATAATTTAAAACAACTAAGAAGGTAGGGCTCAGCTTCCATAAACAATTTTGCAAATGAGTTTTTTTTATAGTCTGTCAAACTCGATATTTAATATAGGGTTCTAAATTTTTTTAGATGTCAACACTTTTAAACTCTTCTGCATCATTTTTTGGGCAAAGGCATATATATTTAAAAATGAGTGTAACATCCTGTCTAAAAAGTACCTCTGGGGCACCTGGGTGGCTCAGTTGGTTAAGCATCTGCCATCGGCTCAGGTGATGATCCCACGGTCCTGGGATCCAGCCCCACATTGGGCTCCCTGCTCAGTGGGGAGCCTGCTTCTCCCTCTCCATCTACCTGCTGCTCCCCCTGCTCGTGTTCGCTCTGTGTCAAATAAATAAAAATCCTTAATAAATAATTAAATAGTACCCCTGATATCTCAGAACTAGATTGTTGAGCTGAGTTATGATTCCTTTTTCTTTTTTCATTAATTTATTTATTTTAAGAGAGAGGGCACTGAGCAGGGGGAGGGCCAGAGGGAGAGAAACTCAAGCAGACTCCATGCTGAATATGAAGCCTGACGCAGAGTTTGATCCCATGACCCCAAGATAATCACCTGAGCCAAAATCAAGAGTCGGATGCTTAACTGACTGAGCCACCCAGGTGTCCCAGGAATCCTTTTTATTAGGATTACTACTGTAAGTATATTATTGGTCATCCTGTTAAAACTTGAAATATACCCATAAGGCCCTTAATTCCCAAGTTCCTTGATGCTAATTCAAATTAGTGGTTGAAAATTCTGTAAGTGACTAGCGGGTGTTGAACCAGAACTTCCAGCTGTTGGGCAGACTTCCAAGGTATGCAGAGACAATGATCTTTTGTCATCCCTGGAGTCACTGGAGCCACTGGCTGGCTATTAGCAGCCTTTTCATTTTACTTCTGGTGTGCTGTATAAACTTTTTTTATATGTGCTATGGTGGGAAAAATCTTGGGAAACATGGTTTAGCAAATTTAAACTTCACTGCCTTTTTTTTCTTAGGTTTTTTAAAAAATTTATTAGAGAAAAGGGGGAGGAGCAGGGAGAGGGACAAGCAGATTCTGAGCACAGAACCCCATGCGGGGCTCGATCCCACCACCCCGAGACCACTACCCGAGCCAAAACCAGGAGTCAGCTGCTCAGACGACTGAGCCACCCAGGCGCCCCAAGCCTCACTGCCTTTTAAGACAGGTGCTCTCTCAAGTCGCTATGTAAGTAAGATTTACCATGAGTGCTTTAAGTATTTGCTTTATGCTATGAGTTTCATTAAAAGGATTGTGCTCTGGGGGTGCCTGGGTGACTCAGTCATTAAGCGTCTGCCTTTGGCTCAGGTCATTCCAGGGTCCTGGGATCAAGCCCCGCGTCGGGCTCCCTGCTCAGCGGGAAGCGTGCTTCTCCCTCTCCCACTCCCCCTGCTTGTGTTCCCTCTCTCACTGTCTCTCTCTCTGTCAAAAAATAAATAAAATCTTTAAAAAAAAAAAAAAGATTGTGCTCTGTGTTAGGATTTTGAAGCTTGATTGTTTTTGGCTTTGTGAAGAAAAGACTATTCCACCCCTGCCCTCTTTTT